CCCCAAAACCCCAAAACCCCAAAACCCCAAAACCCCAAAACCCCAAAACCCCAGGAAAAATCTTTTAAATTGAAAATGGAATCGAGTAAAGAAGATCCGACACAACCAATCACTACTAAGACTAATTATGCATCTGATTACGAAGTTTTAAGCATTATAATAAACTCCTACGTTAACCAGGATGATTCTGAAGTGATCACACTTTGGGAAGGACCTTGTGATATGACTATAATCAAAGGTAAGTGGCCAAAATTTCCGAATATTCAAATCTAGATCATTCTATGATGAAAGAGGATGATACACCAGAGAGCCAGCAGGAGTCTCGAAGCATTTTATTCACTTCTTCTAAAATAAAGAATCGATTCCCTATCGGATATGTTAAAATTGTTCGATTGGACAGAGATATCGAGGAATTTAAGAATAATGATCTAAGACCTATCTTGAATTTTATCTCTGAACATAATAGGAGAGCTCTTGAATGGCAAATCATCTTCGTAGCCTCTCCTACCAATGAAAGCGGGGTCAAGCACTTCAGGAAAAATTATGAAAAGATTAAGAAAAACTGTTTCTCATTTGAACAAGCTCATCGCTTTAGTCGGGTATTCTTTTTCAATGAGACATCATTTAAAGCCACCAGCAAGCTGCTCAAGGCTCAAAGACTACTGGTTGATGAGATTCAGAATAATATGAAAATCTTGGTAAATAAAGGCGTGGACAAATAAAGTTTCCACACTTGCAAATGAGATTTCTTACACTCAAGCAAAGACAATTGGGTCTAAGAAGCAACTAATTCGGTTTATAAGTAAGAGCATTTGTCTGAATTATAGATGTAAACGAGAATTTAGCCAACTTGTACTTTGACCTGGATCAGACAGAACTTGGACTAACATTGTATCAAAATTTAGGAGACTTGCTGAATTCACAAAATTCTATATCATCAGATTAAAATGTGAAATGGACTATAGCCTTGAAATAGAAGATCTCCAGATGATATTTAAAATCAATGAAAAAGAAGTAACCATCAATATTGAAGAATTTCTCAATAACTCAGGCTCTGAAAATGCAATAAAAGTTTTCAACTTGCGACTTTACATCTTCTGGAAGAAAATTTATGTCTACAATCAAGCTAACAGGATCTCCAAAGAGAAACTTTGAGTGGAACTATTTGACTTTTTGTCCATGATAATCTGTTTATTGAACAAGAGTGTGCTTTCAAGGTTTGCCAAGTTAGTAATTATTCTCTTCATAATCTTTCATTTTGAACAAATGTTGGATAAATTTGAGCAGATCGATTACAAAGATTATACCTCCATAAGGTTGATGCTTCCTTTGTATAATTCGAAAGCAATTATTGTAGAAGACTTAGTCAAGACATGCTACCCTGAATTCAGAAAATATAGTGCTCAAGACGAGGTTTTGAGCACTTTAGATTCCTTATTCATTGTACCCAATGTAGATAGCTTGATTACTCCTACAGACAAAGCAGATGGGCTAATTTCTTCAGAAGAAAAGGCTCAGATTGAGGAATGTTTACTCAATTGCACAAAGCCCAGCATCAAGGAAGGGATCAGAGAAATCCTAAACTTTAGTGGTTTCTCTGAAGTATTAATAACTCTGTACTATAAATGTCTGAGCCAACTTAAGACAATGTGCCAGCTATGTAAAACACCCACAATCGGAGATATAAATAAATCTACTGGAAGGTACATGACTATATGTCGTATGCAGCGGTCTAAAGAAGTGATATACCTCAAAATCCTAAGAATGATTCAATTTTTACCAGAAAAAGACCAGAAATCAGAACTACAAAGCATGGAATTTTCCTGCATAAACATGAATTGGCCTGACTTATACCTCCAGATTTGTAAAATGGTTTTAAACTACCATATCTGTGGGGACAAATACTATCTACCCTATCTGTTAGGCATGCTGGTAATTCTCAAAGAAAGGGAGACCAACCTAGACCAACTTCAAGAAATTTGGAACAAAGCTTTACAAAATTTAGTTGATTTCATTACAATCGACAAATTTGGAGAGAAGCAAAATAAGGATAAAGCTGAAGAAACCAAGAAGGAAATTGAGAAAGATGAGAAAGAAGATAATGAAGCAGGAGACCTACAAGAAGAAAAGAAAGAAGATCCGCAAGAGGAAATTAAAGAAGAGCCTCAAAATGACGAAAAGGAGGATGATAAAAATCAAGATGAAAATGTAGAAGAGAAACATCAGATAGAAAATCTTAATGAAGAAATTGAAGAAGAGAGTAAGAAGAAAGACGAAGAAGTCAAGGATAATGAGAGTAAAGATGAGAAAAAGACAGAGGAAGACCAGCTGTCTGAAATATTAAAATGTAACTGTCCTCAAAAATTCATCAAATCGTCCTACACCAAAGAATCCCTTACAATCTCTTGAATAATCAAAATCACAATCCATAAAATCACCCTAGTATCAAAATCAGATTCCAAATTCAAATTCTCCCTCAAATCACCTCTATCTCTCCTCCCAAACGCCAAAACACCAATTCCAATACCTCACAAGTAACCCCACCTCTAACCCTCTAGCTCCCTCAAAAAAGTCCGTAAAATCCACCTCCACTGCTCTACCCCCTGCTCAACCCCTCTCACGCTCATAATCCCTCGCTCATAATTCAACTGTGCCCTCTAAAACCGGGGTTTTGGGGTTTTGGGGTTTTGGGGTTTTGGGG